GCAACACCCGCGCAGTCGCCCGCAGGTTTCCAGCCAGGGTGCTCCCACCAAAGACTGTATCCCCCCACCATCCATCCCCGCCTCTCGCCCGCGCAACCAGTACTCAAGCCCCACCCCCGTCGCCTGCACGCGCCAAGGCCCGTGCCATCGCCGGCAAATCATCCACGGGCGTGCGTCCCGGAAGCTCATGGAGATCCTACATCACATGGCCCGCGACCGTTNGCGCCCCGGAAGCCCATGGAGATCCTACATCACATGGACCGTTCCTCCTTCGACCGCTGCAGGCGTAGATGGCGCAGCAGGACTCGATAACGGTGGGGGCGCGGCCGCGGCGCTCGATGATGCCATAGCCGCCTCGTCGCTGCTCTGCTCAGCCCGTGCCACTCGCGCTTCAGCGGCATCCAACAATTTCTGATATTTCTCCCGCAAAAAGTTCGATGATGCAGAATCGACCTTTGCTTGGAGACTCTGAACATCGTCGATGAATTCCTCCATCGCAAGGTCCTTCGCTCGGTCCTTCTCTACATCACCGAAAGCAGGTTCGTCTCCCCGTACTTCCTGCTCCGCTGCTTTGCGCCACAAGGCGATCACCTCCTTCGTGTCGGCTACCAGCTCCGCCCTGTCGTCGGAACCCGTCTTGGGTTTCTTGTGCTTGCGAGAGTTGGTGTTGCCAGAGGAACGGGCGGGTGTCGCCTCACCTCTCCCTCGGACCCCGGGTCCACCCGGCACGCTGCTGCCTGAGCCTGGGTGTCCATCGGGGAGGACGATATCGCCGGGGCGGTATGTCTCGTCGTCGCCTCCGCCGGAGAGCTCGATACCGTCCTCCCAGAGCATTGTCGGTAAAGAGCCCCGTATAAACTGGAACAGATGACGGGCGTTGACGAATCCCCCGTCCTGAGTTGCGTCCGCACCGGCCCCACCACTTCTTTGCTCGTTCTCCTTGAATTTTTGATGTGCCCAAGGGAGAAAGCGAAGAAACGGTCCACGTTCGTCGGAAATGGGATGGGAACAAAGCCGTGAGTCTTGAGTGGTGAAATCTGATGTCGCTAACAATCTTTTCTGCATTCCACGTGGTACTTGTGTTGGGGCGTCAACGGAAAAAGGGAACGACATACACACAATGGCGCAAGGCAGGACGGTAAAAAAACGTGTTTCACCCAAAAAAACTTGCGGGAGAAGCGCACCCCACGATGATAATGTAGGTTGAGGTCGCGAGGGCCCACAGCTTAAACCCAACACAAGAAGAAACACACACACACAACCAAAGACGCTCATCACGGAAATATAAACGCAACCCGTCTACAGTGATGGTTACATCGACCTCACACCTCGCCAAATTTCTAGCTTGGCTGTTGATGCACTCACAGATATCCCAAGACAAGCACAGCAGACCGACAAAGCACGAAGACGTCCTGCATCCTGTGTAGCCACGGCAGGACAACGCTGCCACCTGCAGAATGAAAACTAGGACACCGCTACACTCACCGTGTGCTTANTCTACAGTGATGGTTACATCGACCTCACACCTCGCCAAATTTCTAGCTTGGCTGTTGATGCACTCACAGATATCCCAAGACAAGCACAGCAGACCGACAAAGCACGAAGACGTCCTGCATCCTGTGTAGCCACGGCAGGACAACGCTGCCACCTGCAGAATGAAAACTAGGACACCGCTACACTCACCGTGTGCTTACCAACCGTTCGAAAACAACAGATGGTCGATTTCATCATGTCCATCACTCATGCGAAACAAAACACGCTGCTCCCGCCACCATCACCACCACCGACGCATGCAACATTAAAACTCCCGCGGCAGCAGCAGCCGCGCCATGAACAACACCAGAAGCGTTTGGAGGACAGCGATATCCTGTTTTGTTCCCATCCTTTCTAAGAGTCGACGCGCATATTGATTGACTTTCCTACGAGAGGTCGACTTCCCACGATGCGCGATGTGGAAACTGGTGTTGGGTACAGGCGGAGTCTCGTGGCCGTGGACGATAGAGGGCAAAAAAGACCGTGTCGCATTATGTGTTGATCATATTTTTTTTTATCGCGTCACGGAACGTGTCCACATACTGTACAGGGGGAATACGCACACCCCGCGCCCAACGATAGCGCCTGCCGTACCCGCGCGTAACCCTACCCCCCCCAAAAAAAAAACGGCGTGAGCTGGGGTTCCCGGCTAGCGGCAAGCGTTTCTTGCCGCTACTGTCCCCTATCTAGCTACAGGTACTCTGCCCTCCTGCTGTCCTCTCACCTGCCCTGAAAGTACATCCAGCATGCCATCATGCTGTCCACCCGCGGCTGGAGAACACCCATCGCCACCCTCTCCACCCACTTCTATAAGCATAGGATCTTCCACTTTTCGATCCTCCTGCACGATACCACAAAAGCAACCGTGGTCGCGTCGGTGCGAGACGAGAGGTGCGTTGGTACAATTGCGGAGTTTACTAGACTAGACACAAGTACGGGTTGCCGCGCCAAAACAACAAAGAAACCAAAGAGAAAGCATGCGTTCATGACCAACAAACCTACAGCAGCAGCACTTGTAGTCTATGCCAGGTCCAGGAGTTCATGAAAAATCCGATCTCGAGAGCCTAGCAAACGCAAACCTTAATTCGTATCTGTACAGCCTTGTGTAGCACTGTTGTTGGTCCTCCTCGTAAACCAGCACAACTTGCGTGTGGGGCACTGATACGGAGCGATAGCACCCCCAAAGAACTGCCCACCCGCACCATGTGGCCACCAAGCTACGCACTAGAGCAAGCATTCTCGAATGGCGTGCTGCTTGCTGCTGCTGCTGCTGCTGCTGCTGCTGCCGTGTAGACGGACTATGTCCTGCTCTGTACTCTACTAATGAGGTACTGGTAGCTCTGAAGGACCACCTCGCGGACCGATGCCAAAATAAACAAAAACAAGCTTTGCAACAGCAGCGTACCTCGGTGTTGCCACCTTCTTCGCCGACCGCAGAAGGGTGCTGCCACGTAGGTTGTCGATCGCTCGCACAAGCCGTGAAGGCCTGAGACAAAGCGCGCCCGTCCATCAGGCTGCGGGTAGCCCAAAACAAACCGACTGCCTGCTGCTGCCGTTGGTCGTCCATATCAACACGAGAGCTGTCTGAATCTTCCCCATGTTACTCATCATCACAACCAGCCTCCGACCGATATTGAGCGGCTCGCGCTAACCCCGCGTTGAAGCGGTCAACGTCCTCGACACCAAGGCTCCGCTTGCTGCCGTTCTCCGCAGCTGCTTCGCCTTCTGCGGGCGGCAGCAGCCTCGCCCCCATCTGGGCTCCAGAAAGCAGGCCGACGCGCTGGCTCCTTCCCTTTGCGCAATTTTCGGCCCTGGCCGTCTCCAGCATGTCATCTGCCATGCTATACGTGCTCGCCGTATGTGATCGTGTGTGTCTCGACAGTCGGAGAAAGAGTAACTAGCGCTGTGTTGCTGCCAGCCAAGTAGGTGTATCGTTGCCGACGCCTTCCATGCGTTGAGACTCCAAAAAAGATTTTCTGGACATGGAAAACAAAGTTCCTGGGGACTTTCGCCGCGACACAGATTTTCCGGTAATTCAAAATCGCCGTTTACCGGCTCTCGGGCCTCTTGACCAATCAGAGCCCAATTTTGATTTTTGATTTTCTGGAAACAGACTTTTCCGATTCCGGTAAGACAGGCTCTTGTACGAGGAGCATGTCGCGTCTTGGCGGATAGTGGGCATGCGAGGTCATCCGCATTCACAACCGTAAATGTCCGGGGATAGGGATTTTGACGTAGATACTCCATATCTGGGATACAGTTACGGTGCCAACTACAATGCCCACCGCAGAAATTTGTCTCGGCGAGGAGAAGTAAAGGATGACGAATCTCCGTGCACCTTGTCGGGCACAGTCAGGCTCCGGTGTCCATACCATCGCGTATTCTCACCTGCTGAGACTATTGCACGCGGGATGTTGGCGAATCGATGTGAGGCACATGAAGAACACTAGCACAACCTCCTTGTGGGGCACCGTCATCACGGTGTCTGCTCTCCCATTGCCGTGATCTGTGACCCATGTGCCTCATGTGACTTTCTTTTCTGGGAACGATGGTAGCCAGAACCAGTTTGTAGTCATTCTGCATTTCTTTTGCCCACGCTATTAACAACGGTTATCCCCGTATATCGAGTGCAACGAGACAGGACACGGGTGAATACTTCTGCCATGTATTTGCCTGCGATCGTTCTTCTCTACTCCTCCGTTCGTAAAGGCCGAAGGTCAACGATAAAGGCCGATTCTGGACTGACTACTCCCCGGTTTTCGAATCAATCCTCAAGCTCATGGAGTCCTCCTCCAACGACGGCAACGGCGATGCGGCCAGAGATGACGCTACCGACAGAGTACAGCAGGCTAAAGCCAACAGGGTGAGATGAAGAACGATGGCCTAGGTGACGGCATGTATCCGATTGGGTTAGACCGTCAAATAGCGAGAGGACGGAAGGCCACGTCGGACAGTCTACGTTGGTAATGCTGTCACACAGTGAGGGAGTTAGGCGGCGGCTGGGACTGCGCGACAAGCCTTTGGAGGTTGGATATCCCCTCGAATTCCGCTTGTAGGCCATGCCTTTAGCATCGAGAGTAGGGCAATCCCACAGCCAATCGTAACCCCATGTCTGCCTTGTTACAAATGTTTCATTTTTTGGTGACACAGCGCGTCAATCGCTCGTATTTTCGCGGTTGCGCCATCACTCATGGTTCCGGCTCGGAAACGTGGTCGGATTTTCAAGGACTCAGATCACAACCCGAGTTTGCCCCCCCCCGACCCGTAGTGTTTGCCATCGGCGTTGGCTTTTCGTCGCTTGGCAATGACAATGTAACCCTCCCCCCCCCCCCCCC